CCCCAAAACCCCAAAACCCCAAAACCCCAAAACCCCTCGATGCTATGATAGGGTAATAATGATATAAACATATATTCTAAAATATAACAATTAAAGTGCATTTTGATATATTATATAATTTTAATGGGATAGTGTTTTACTTGCATCGATGGGATTATGCATCCAGCAAGCAGAAATGAAAGAAATATAGGCCACTCTAAGTCGAGTAAACTGACTCACAATAAGAAGCGAAAAAGTATGATTTCTAAACCTATATAAATATATTACCTAATCAAGAAACTAACCCCAATAATAGGCAATAATAATTCATCAATCGATCATTATTCTAGTGCAATAAACAAACAGGATTTTAAGATTCTGAAGGTAATCGGTCGTGGTTCGTTCGGGAAGGTGTATTTGGTGCAAAAATGAGACAGTGACAAGCTTTATGCAATGAAGACTATAAAGAAGGAGTCAACTCTCTCCTAGATTTCATACCAGAGTACTAAAGGTAAGTTAACAGTAATAATCGCCTTATATCGTAATATAAGGAATCAATAATTGTTCATACCATAAAATTAATTAATGCCTTGAAACTAACTGGTTAAATCTTATCTTTTAATTTATAGCTGAAAGAGATATTCTAGAGAGAATAACTAGCCCCTTTATAGTCAAGTTACATTTCGCCTTCCAAACTCCAAAGAAACTATACTTTGTAATGGATTTCCTAAATGGTGGAGAGCTATTTTATCACTTGAAGCTTGAGGGAAGATTCACTGAAATGCGCACAGCTTTTTATGCAGGGGAAATACTGCTAGCTCTAGAGTGCCTCCACTCTAATGGGATTATATATAGAGATCTGAAGCCAGAAAATGTGCTGCTTGATTCGGAGGGGCATATTAAGCTGACAGACTTTGGTTTGAGCAAACAAGGATTAATAGGTAATGGGAATACATATACTTTTTGTGGTACTCCTGAATATCTGGCCCCTGAAATTGTGAGAGGCAAGGGACATAATAGATGCGTCGATTGGTGGAGTCTGGTAAGTTAACTAATGTTTAAATTTGAATTATATAGGGCTTAGTTATCTATGAAATGTTGTCAGGGGTGAATCCATTCAAAGTGAGGAATAAGAATAAATTTGAGAAGTTGCAAATGATATTGGAGGACAATATAATAATGCAGCCTCAGTTTTCTGAAAATGCTACATCATTAATTCAAGGATTATTATAGTAAAAGGTAATGTATAATTGATTTACTAATATTGGGAAATAGCCGAAGAACAGACTGGGATTTAATGGTTCAAATGAAATACGAAACCATCCGTTCTTCGATAACATTGACTGGGACCTACTTGCTGATAAATAAGTGAAACCCCCATTCAAGCCAAGAGTAATGGGTGAAAGTGACATTAGTAATATTGATAGAGTATTCACCCGTGAACCACCTTAAGAAACACCTGATGATAGCAGCTAGAAATATATTAAAGATCTTAAATTCGACAACTTTACCTATGTGCAAGAAAACTACTCATTAGACGTCACACTTTGAAGAGAAAGTGTCTCATCTAAGCCACTTATAAGTGCGAAGGTTAATATAATATATAATATCATCCTAATGAATCTATCGAATTTAACAATTATTAATTCTAAGGTAATTATTATTCGTCCATCAATGTGATTTAGCAAAGCGGGGTTTTGGGGTTTTGGGGT